ACGCAGTGAAGGACAGTTCATTTCTTAATTAGAGTGATAAGTTTTGCTAATTGAACACTATACTTGAATCCTAAGCTAAGCTCGTAACCCCCAAGCTAAATCTATACAGCGACTTAAACACGAGTGAAAAGGTGCAAAATATACGAGATACACTTTACTCCAAAAGTTCGTTCATATACAGAAAATATAGGGTTTTTATAGTATTTTAGAAGTCCTTCGGTTTTCCTGAAAATTTGGTAATGGTGCTAAACAAAGTTACTTACTTACTTACTTACTTACTTACGCCTGTTACTCCCAATGGAGCATAGGCCGCCGACCAGCTTTCTCCAATCCACTCTGTCCTGGGCTTCCTTTTCTAGTTCTTTCCAGTTCTTGTTCATTCTTCTCATGTCTGTCTCTATTTCTCGGCGTAATGTGTTCTTTGGTCTTCCTCTTCTCCTTCGACCTTCAGGATTCCATGTGAGGGCTTGTCTTGTGACGCAATTAAGTGATTTCCTCAAGGTGTGCCCAATCCACTTCCAGCGCTTCTTCCTGATTTCTTCCTCTGCTGGAATCTGGTTTGTTGTCTCCCACAGTAACTTGTTGCTGATAGTGTCTGGCCATCGGATCCGAAGTATTTTGCGAAGACAGCTGTTGATGAACACTTGTATCTTCTGGATAATGGCTTTCGTAGTTCTCCACGTCTCAGCCCCATACAGTAGAACTGTCTTGACATTTGTATTGAAAATTCTAACCTTGGTGTTGGTTGACAATTGTTTTGAGCTCCAGATGTTTTTCAGTTGTAGGTATGCTGCTCTTGCTTTGCCGATCCGCGCCCTCACATCTGCATCTGATCCACCGTGTTCATCAATGATGCTGCCCAGATATGTAAAGGTTTCCACATCCTCCATAGCTTCTCCGTCAAGTGTAATTTGATTGGTGCATATTGTATTGTATCGGAGAGTCTTGCTTTTCTCTTTGTTTATTTTGAGACCTACTGCTGCTGAGGCTGCTGCTACACTGGTCGTTTTCTCCTGCATTTGTTGTTGGGCATGGGGTTAGCGACCCCATCCCGTAGAAAATCAACTCGCTAAACAAAGTATCAGTGTAGTAATCAGCCAATCAGAAACCCTACATGTGACTTTTCATTTTCGTGATGTTTCTAGCATAACTTTTAGTCAACGCTGATTTGATAAAATGCATCTTGGATTTCCTGAGCCTTTCTTGTTATTGCGAGAAATTTTCTGGATCACCAAAACATCGAGCTTAGCAATGAATCCCCTGTAGCTAACTCCAGATATGCAGATAACACAATGGATGTACTTGATGTGAATCAAGCCATTGTGAAGGATGTTTGTAAAATTAACAAGTGCACACTCACTTTAACCATGACTAGTAAGCCTAAACCTCACAACCCCAATCAATAACTGTAACAAGATGGAACTATAGTTATAAATGGTATCAGTTTGTGATAAAAACCCGTTGCTTCATTCCATGACCCTAACTCCTGACTCTTCTCAGACTCTAAATTCGTAAGCCTGACCGTTTTCGACCACTAATCATGTCGAAGCTGCATACCAAACTTACTTCTTTTAGTTATTCAGTATTTGATAACTAAATACTTTTCCGATTGACTTATGATTTGCTCAAAGTTTTCAGCACAGAACAGTTTTATTTACTCATTTTCTAATTTATTACGACACATTTCATTTAATTAGACTTGATAATGATTATTATTAATGGCTTTACTCAACATTATATTTTTGATACAATATTAAATTTTTAGCATAGAGTATTTCAACAAAATTCATTTTCCTATTGGTTGATTGATCCTGAGGATAAATATTAAAATCTTGTACCGATACTGAGCAATCATCTTGTAAGTCAATTAATCAGGATTATTAAATTGCGATTACGTCACATTTATGATACATGATTAGACTTAGAAGGAATCGAAGACAATCCACCTTGCCAATTAGAGATCACCATTTGGATGTTAGCAGGTCAGAAATCGACATTTTAATGATATTCATTCTTTACAATGCATATTACCAGACACCACGATGTCTCTGATTGTACTTTTTTATGCTGTACAGCGAAAAGTTATAAATCTTTTATAAACGCGTCTGAATAGGTTATACGATTAATAGATAAAGAGAGATAACTTGTTCAATTATCCTTATGACAGGAACAGGTAGTCCAGATATTCAAGCAGGCCGCCAGAAGCCGAACTTTATTGGTAAATGTGTTCATACATGTCCCTAACATGATATGTGTTGAGAAAATCTGATTAATTATGCCTACAACATACTATTGAAATAGCATTGGAAGTTATAAACAATGTATATAAACATTTTATTCTCATCAGCACCCTATAAAATAATATTCTTGAGTTTATTTGATAGCTGACAACACAGGGTAACGTTAGTCCACACAACATAAAAACTAATTTTTATGTTTACATTTCATTTTACTTATATGCTTAAAAGTAGTTTACAACATTACGCCCAATATTTTGGCGAAAAGCAAATATTTGATAAAATAATACTCAATGATCTGAAGTTTTTGTGATATTGGATACTCAAACTTTCAACACTGATGAACTCTGACACATGGTGGAACATGTGCTTCAATTGTATGATTTTGTACTCACTAACTTATTCATAATGAGTTAGTATGTACTTCTACAGTTTTTTTTTTTTCGTACGTTGATTACACTGAATTTTTATTATTTGAAAACATTTCACTGGACAATCATTACATTTCCTGAGAAACGTCTGTGCATTCTCACTCAAAAAAGCCGAATCTTCACTTCGTGTAGTTTTCTTAGTACCCTTCCAGTAATGACCTCAAATTGTATAACCTTTGATCAGTTAACCATTTATTAACTACACCATTTCGATTTAAAGTATATTTGTCTTGTTCCTGATCACTAATTTTTTTTAAACCATGAGATCAGATTTCTACATTTATCTAATGCTTGATTTCTCACATCATCCTTCAATAGATTTATTATTTCAAAATGAGAATAAGTTTTATCTCTTCCATACACATGGGACTTGATATTCCTTGATATGAATTTTATATACTGCTTTCTTGATACCTTTTGTATATTTAAGCTGATGATTCATATAATTTATCCGTAAATAACAGGTAATTTTAAGCACTGTTATTTTTTTTAACTAGTTGAGATTGGTCATTATTCGATTAAAAAGATCGTTTTCTTCAATTTGAATTTATTTTTCAATGTTTTAGAGTATTTTCAATATCATCATGCAGATTTTAGCATTCTCATTCACATTATGATTATTACTACCACTATTACTAATTACATAGAACTAATAGTGTAATGTTGATTATTGTTATAATTGACGTACGAACTGTCTTGATGAACTTGATGACCAAACACCCATACGTAAATATAATGAAAGATCTTTATCTAATACGCTTTTCATGCTCATGTAGCATCAACGATGTTATGACCATTGAATACGGTACGAGGAACATTTAACTAGATCATTACATTTATAAACTTGATCGTAATTCTTTTTCTTATAGACTGTTAATAACCTCTTAACTTGAGGACAATCAAAATAGGGCCTACATTGATTCTAACAGCTATGAGTATCAACTTTTCCATTTACTCAAATACCAGTTTTAAAAACGCTGGATTCTAATCTATTTCACATAATTAGACTGTTATGAATAACCCCACATTCACAGTGAAATTATAAGAAAATATTCAATTAACCTTCTCAGCAATTTGTATTACAGTCTTAAGTTAATCTTTGGATATCGATGTTTATGAGTCATAACTGTTACAATATGTAAATGATGTATTTCCATTTTATTGCTAAGTGAAATTAGATTATCTGATTTTATTATCCCTATTTATTATGTAATCTTCTGAACTCTAATCAGTTGTTGTTAGTGTCAGACACTACTAATTCACTTCTAATATTATGTCTCACTCGGACTGTGTTCTGTGTTCATTCAAATCTAAGTAGCTGAATGTAAATTATTCTCTTACAATATTTAAATTGAAAATTAAACCTGAAACTAGTTTCTATTGAGAGATTAATTAATTATCTAGAGTTGATGAGTATCAAGTAGAATGAAAATCATTTTCTATATCCTAATGATAAGGAATCTTGAACAGTATCAGTAATCAAATTCTAACAGAAAAATTCGTAAATGACTTTAATGTATTTTACGCTTTTTTCTTATCGATGAACATTCTAACTTTCAAGTAGAAAAATTAGATTTTCTGACGTTTCGTGACTCAGTGTAAGCCTCAGTGTAAGTGGCTTCATTTGGGATAGTACAAATATATTATTTATTTATAACAATCTACCCAAAGCCTAATTTACTCAAAATTCTAACTTACGATTTATTATTCTACTATTAGTATAAAAAACATGTTTTACATATACTTCATTATATATAGTTGAAATTATGAGTCAATTGAGGCTAGACCACCGTGGAAAATCCGGAAGCACTAGACGGCCGTTTCGTCCTATTATGGGACTCCTCAGCAGTGCGCATCCATCTAGCTTCAATTGACTCATGACTCCAATTATACATAAAAATTACAAAAAATCTCCACAAAAAATCCCCTTATCATATGCTCACTAGTGACTAGCTCCATGAGGTATTTCCTGGAGGTGGGAAGCAGTAACCAGTGGAGTTCAATCAGGTCTGTTGGAATATATCAACTCACTGAAGACATTAGTGAAATGGTCGCTCAACTTCGTGAATTGGTTGAAGTTAGACATTAACACCGTTGAATGCCAGCCATCTCAGTGGTCTATTCGGTTAAGTGCTCGCGCGCGAGACTCGTAGATCCTGGGTTAGAATCCCGAGAGGCGGGATCGTGGATGCGCACTACTGAGGATTCCCACAATAGGACAAAACGGCCGTCCAGTGCTTCCAGATTTTCCATGGTGGTCTACCTTCATTTGACTCATGATTTCAACTATATATAAAAATATTACTAAAAATCTCTACAAAAAACCCTCATATACTTCATTAATTAATTTATTTAATTAAATAAGTCAATAAATATTTGATAATCTTCATTGAATAACAATATTAAGTTTATTTACTATTTCTCATATATAATTCATTTTGAGCTGAATCTAATTCTATACGTAATGCATGAACAAGTTTAATTAAACTAACATTTAAAAGTTGTAAACTTCTATTATTATAATGTTGATCAATCTTTACCGAAGGTAAGTTATGGTTGAAATCTGTTTGAACTTGAAAATCATGTGTACTTTTTAAATTTTCATCATATGTTTGAACACTGGAACTACATAAATTTGTTGTCATATCTTTGGATTGTGTTAAATGTGTACAATTTCTTTGATGAATAAGCTCTTCTTCTTCTATGGAACATGTTAAAGTTTGAATACCAACATCAACTGTTGATTGTATTTCTTGAGATGATTTAATGTTTTCCCGATGTAGTTCGCCTAGTTCAGCCTGTCAGATGAAAAAAAAGTTAATATTTATCATCAAACTTTCATATATACTATGGTTTAATAACTTTTCATAGTAAACAAAATGAAATGTTTTAAAGATTTTGATTATGTTGCATGAATAAATAGCTGACCAAGGAAATATATTACTTATTAGATGTATACAGTAATATTTGATCACAGGGTTATGATTTAAACAAACATTATTTACTCTCTGGAACATAAAGTGATTCAGTACCTAGTGGATATATTCGTAAAATTTCATTGTATTTAGTCATGGAAATAAAATTAATAATTGAATAGTGTGGTTAAAAATATTCTTTACTTAAATGTTCAACTTTCTAAATATCCTTGATATCTTTGTATTATACGTTTAGTTTGTTATTCGTTCCAAAATAACAGCCACTTTTTTCTGACTACACACTTCAGTTAGAACTGGAGAAGATTATCTTGATCTTCATATTATAATATATCGAGGATTCCTTAATGACAGTCACTTGACAGTTCGATGATTTTATGTCTTGAGAAGAAGTTCCAGTTAATACTAGCTGGTTATTACGTTTGCTTACAAATCTAAAATTAGTTTAACATGATGGTCTATCAAAAGTCACGTATATTATAATCAATGTTTTGATTGTGTAACCAACTTGTGACTGTAACTGAAATGAATTAACATGAAAATTGGAAAAAACACTTGTTAAGCGGAACTAATTTATCTCTCCTTGAGTAAGCTTTACAATCCAAAACTATTATTTGGTTAATTTACATCTAAACAAAATGGAATGATAGAAAACTCTACCTAGTTTCATTAAAAATTAAAACAACCCATAGATCGACAAATGTAGAATAGTTTAAAAAATTTTCGACATTATCAATGTGAAACGTCATTCAAGTATTTTGAATATTAAGGGTAAAGTTTCGTATGATCCTGAGCTTCATTTTTTTCGAATTACTTTTTGAGTTTTCAAAGTCACAAGATGTTAAACCATATGACTATTTGAATGGATCTGTTTAAGGTTGGAATTTAAGTTATATGTTAAGAAGGAACTATAAAAACACTATGAATCATAAAATACGAATAAACTCATAGTAGTACATCCCCAGTTTTTTTCATTATTTAAATAATAATGTTCATAGTGAAGTCATTCAATTTAAACGTTTAACGTAGAATTATAACGCTATGAAAATGATATAATTCACCAAATATGTTAGAAGAACCAAAGCTATATAGCATAATAATAACAACTGAGTAACTGTTGGATCTTGTACCCTAATATACCTTGTAATGGTATAGCGAATACAGCAAACAACTAGAATTTACATTTGCATTCGATTCAATAAAAACAATCAAAATACTAGTCAAACCATCAAACAGACATTGTTACTAATCATACTTATTTATAAAGTTAGATACAATTTTAATATCGTGTTCTAAACAAGTAAGGGCTCAGTCTCTTTTCATTGTCTCAGTCTGTATGCATAAATCAATAGATTTATTATTCACTCAATTCAACATACAATCAAGTTATTGTTATATCGATTGCTTGTGTGCGTGCCCAATTGTTATATCGATTGCGTGCGTTCTTTACCAGTTGATATATGTGAGTGATAAGACCGCCCAATTAGGGAGCAGTGAATTTATTGATCGTCCAATGATACACAAAATTGTATGAGCAGTCTTGAGTACTACTCGGTCCTCAGAGTTACCATTCATAATTCACCAGGGGATATGACAGTTATAACTAATGCTATTCGCATAGAATTGTGAAGATTGATGAATTTCACTGAAATTATGAATCAGTCAATGTTAGACCACAACTGAAAACCTCAAAGCAATGAATGACCATCTCGTCCTAGTATTGGATTCCTCAACAATGCACACCCACGATCCTGTACGTGTGGCTCAAACACAAAACTTTTGATCTCGTACGTTACCACTTAACGTCTGGACAACTAATCCAACATACAATACTATTAATGTCTAACTTCAATCAATTCATGATATCGTTCAATCACTTCCGGCTGTCTTTGAAGGGTAACTGCCGAGCACCCGACAAGGTGTACCTCCCCTAGTTCTGGCTTCTTACTATAACTTCAGAAATTTCCTCTTGAAGCTAGTCAGTAGTGAGCACATGATAATTATCATTACAAGGTTGTGGAAATTTTGAGGTTCATTGAAGCCGTGAGCAGAGTAATTCAACCGCGTCGGGTGTGAGATGGTTATCAATCGAAGACAATAGAAGATGGTCACACAACGTCGTAGATAGATATTAGATATCAACACCCTTGGGCGATGACTTAGTGGCCAGAAGGTTTTAGGTTGAAGTGCGAGACCGAAGGTCCTGATTTCGACTCTTGCATCCACGGTCGTGGGTATGTACTGATGAGGGGTCTCACACTAGGATGAAACGCCCATCCATTGTTTTCAGGTTTTTGATGGCGGTTTAACATTGATTGATTCATAATTTAAACATAACTAACCTTGTTAGTTCGAATCCGAAGTATCATATTTTTTATGAAATATTAAAATGATAATTAATGTTTCTTTTTTTCAAATATCAACTACCGCCTTAGTATAACTATCCATCATAAAATACGTATGCCCTGAACACCGATTACCACGACGCGCTATGCTGACTAGTATTGGCAATGGTTGGAAGAGAATGAGGGGCGACCGAACCAAAACGTGGCATCAGTTCTTGAAGTCACTAACTTCTAGTCTGAGTCATGTTGGTAGATGCAGACTACTTGGTTGGGATCCGCGTGACTACCGTAGCCAATGATTGGAGACTCTGTGTGACAAGGCTCAGAATCGATCACAATGGGGTAGGTGTATATATTCTTTATCTTCCCTTAAACCTTGAGATTAAAATTGCGTGATATCTGTCTCCCTTACTGCACTATATCCTTATATACAACCTTTCTTTTATATATTACCTCCACTAAATTAACTACTTCTATGAATTTATTGTTCATCTTGTTGTGCTGACGAGGTATGGCAACTTGGACCGATGCATATATATATATGCCTGTTCTTACGTTGTAGCTAACTAACTGACTGAAATTGAACAAAACTGTTAGATCATTTAACAATACAGATTAGATAAGTTTACATTATTTCTTTTTATCTAGATACTAATCAATGTAACCCTTATCAAATAGTTAAATGTAAAATAATATTTTCAAAATAAAACTTTATTTTCAGAAAATACTCTTTCATCTACAGTTCTGAAAAAAGAAAAAAAATTAGAAAAAATTAGAAAAATGATTTATTATTTTCAGTTGTCCATTTGTTAGTAACCAAAAAAACAAACAAACATTAATCAAACAATAACAACTAACTATCTCCTATCTAGTTTTTATTCAAAATAAATATCATATGTTTATCGACCCTTTTATAGTAAACTTTTCATATATCCTATATTCCCTTGTTCTACATTTTTTTTTATTCATAACATCTTGTTTAGATTTTTAAATCCTTAAAGTTCCTGATTTTTTTTCATTTCCAATCAAGACAAAAAAATTATTTTTTTTTGGTTTTAAAAGTCATAAGTAACTAAATCAATCAATAATTAAAACGAAAAAAATAAAATTATAATTTTTTTTCTGTTTTTTTTCTTTCGAAGCATAAAACATCCATAGTTGTATTATCACTTTTATTATGGTTACTAATGTTAGTTAGAAAATAAAAATACTGTTTATAGAAAATAATTTTTATTTCTAATTTTATACTACTGATTATTGGTGATTAGAATAATTTTTTTCTTTCAATGTGTGATATGATTCTCCTATTGGACTATAATTGAATTTATGTATCTTTTGAACTGATAAAACTTGGGAAAAAAAAGGAAAATACTACACATTGTATTACATGTGGGGAAAGAAAAGTTGATTTCCTGATTAAAAACTTACTCCAATTTATACTAATAATCTCGATAAATCAATAATCTTTGATGGGAATATATATATAGGATGAAAGTATACCCTAAATAACTTTACACTTAAAAAGAAAACTCATAATATGAATTATAATATAGTTATTGTTATATAGAAACTCAAACGATACTTATAATTATTACACAAATTACTTTAACAAGTTCTTTAGAAAATTTCTAGACAAACATATTGATTTTGAGGGTTTTTCATTCCAAGAGAAAAATCCATCGCTTTTTACTGATTCCAATAATAATAATAATAACGTATTAAGTAAAGATGGATAGTGGCTAGTAGTGGAATATAGGATGCGCGTTTCGCCCTATTTGGGATCCGTCAGTTGGACGTACCTGCATCTCAGAGTTGATGTTCACTCCGGGACTCGAACCCAGTACTATTCGCTTCAAATGCCATCGCGTTATCCACTCAGCTACTGAGTCCTGATAGCTAATTATTTGTGCAGTAGGATGAATTTCAAATTCATTTAGTACTGTTTGTTTGAACCTTCCCATTGATGTTTAGGATTGCGATTGATCAGTCTGTTATTGGTATATATGCATACTTCCTTGAATTTGTTATAATTCATGAGCATTATAAGCAAAGATGGATAGTGACTATCAGTGAAATCCAGGACGCCCATTTCGTCCTATCTGGGACTGATCAGCTGGATTTTGAAGGATTTGCATCCATCTTTGCTTATAATGCTTGTGAATCAATGCTATATCGAGGAAATACGCACAGTATATACATATGTCAATGAGACTGATCAATCGCAATCCTAAACATCAATGGGAAGATTTAAATAAACAATACCAAATAAATTGAAAAACGTACTGAGATTTAAATATCTTTGATAATTTAAGAAGATTGTTATATCTAGTGCTTAGATTCTTGCTATGTCACGTACTACTAGACTAGCTGGACGATCGAACCCGCAACGTTGCAAGAGAGAAGACTAGTAAGTAGGAATGTTATTCCCAACACAGTGTTAATTATGATAATAAAAAGGAAATCATCATTATAATTATCCAATCCACACACAGGGGGTTACTAGCATTGTCCAATAGAGAA